GATTCTTTTCAGGGGCTGGTGGTGATGGAGATATGGAATTAGGGAGACTTTAACTTTCAATTGTTATATTCCATATAATTTAAAGTTTAAATCAAGTGTGTTACTTTTTTATCAATCAGAGATACATGGTAAATAGTCATGAATCTAGGGTAGTCTGGGAAGATGCCGTCTAGAGATTTAAAATTTGGGCTGAATTACTGAACATCAGAATGTGGGCTGATAATTTTAGGTGCTATGCAATGGGCTTTTGGGAATGCAGAATAATGGTTAAAACACCATCTCTATTTTATCTATGTTAAGAACAATTGATATATTTATGATATTTAATCTACACTATGTGATTTGTAGTTTTCATAAATATATTTTTCAGGGCTGTGTGTGTGTGTAAAGAGAATGGCATTTATTGGGATAGAGCTATTGGAACATTTACCACTTCATCATTCATTCAACATTTAAAAAGCATTTGATACTATATATACTTTCTGTAGAGAATTGTGCCTGAGAGCATGAAGACAAAGACAAATATAACACAGTCTCTGTGTTCCGGAAGTTCACACCCTAATAGTAGAGAGATGATAAGCACACACACGTATTACAATGTGATGGGACAAGTGAAAAAATGGGGAAAAACAAGGTATGGTGTTATTGCATAAGTTGTCATGAATAAGTCTAGTTGACAGAGTCAGAGGAAGGTTCTTGGAGGGATAACATCACAGTGACATCTGAGTTTGAAGGGTGGACAGAAATTTGTGAGTTGAATAAAGAACTGCAGGGCATTCCAGATTAAGTGAAACATTATTTCTGAAATAATATCAAACCTCCAGTGTGAAACTATCAACTGGCATAATTCACACTTACTCTGTGCACCAGGCACTGTTGTCAGTGCATTATATGCATTAACTTAACCTCTCATCAAGTCCATGCACTACTATTTTCATCACCCTCATGTTACAAATTAGAAAAGTAAAGCACAGAGAGTTTAAGTAACTTGCTGAAAGACACACAAATAATATGTAGCAGAGTCGGTTTTAACAGGATCAAGGAAAAGTGAAATTCAGGCAGTTTGGCCTCTGAGCTCATACTCTTTGCTGTCAGATCCTACTTTATAACATTTAAGAAGGCCTGTGGAAGTGAGGCTGTAAAATTTGAATTACAATGATCAAGGACTAGGTTCTATGCTAAAGAACTTGAGCTTTCCTCAGTCAGTCCAGAGGATCATTAGGGAGTTGGAAGATGCTGTCTAGAGATTTAAAAGTTGGGTGGAATTAGTGTGTGGGGTACTTAAACAAAAGGGGGAAGTAATCCAACATGTGTTTTGAAAAGAAGGCTGTGGCAGAGCTCTGGGTGACAGGTTTGAGAGGCAGTAAGACTTTCTGCGAAGGCTAAGGAAAGAATTAATAGGAGTTTGATCTAAGACACAGTCAGTGGAAACAGAAAGAACAGGATGAATTGGAAAAATATTTAGGAGATGCAACTGACAGCAATATAACCAGCAGTCATTATATTGAGTTGTGAGGAATCAGAGCAAGGAAAAGAATTAAGAATGCACTTAGATTTCTAGTTTGGTTCAGAATTGTTCCACTGTTACATCATAAGGTTAACAAATTTAAATTAAAAAAAGCTATATTTAATTTTTAAAAGTATGAGAAAAATATATTCTATTAAATCAGTATCTGTAGGTGTTCCATTTGAGATGTATAGAAGAGGATAGCACAAATTTAAATACTTTTCCTTGATCCCTTCTATATACAACTAACATAATTCAACCTAATTTAATGCTAGAAGTTAGAAAGACTTCAGTATTTTGTGAAGAACTTATCAAATGGAAGATAGCTTTAATGAATAAGACTGTGATTTAACATTTCATTTGTTTGGTCAGATTAAGTACTAAAAAAATCAATATATTATTATGCCATTGCAATGCATTGTTTGTAAGGTATAATTCAGTATCTTGAATTATACATACTTCAATCACTTAAATTAATTAACATAATAACTTTCCATAAACTCCAGCTAGAAGATAGATGAGGCTTGTCAAAGAAGTTCCGTAAATTCCCAAGGTAAAATAAATAGTTTATATTTCCTACTCCAGTATTAGGAGGAATAAATAATGATCTATAAAGGAATAGGCCAAAAACAACTGGCCTACTCCTTTCCTCAAGTTTATATTTGTTTGTGTTAAGAGGATAACTTGACAACCACATCAATTAATCTTGAAGCTGCATCATGTTGGAAAAATATTTTTCTATTAAGACAAAGAGTCATCATGCACTTGAACCCTAATGCTGTCATATACTAACTGTTTGGTCACAAGCAAGTTGAATGACCTATGTTAACTCCAATTTCTTTATATATAAAATGGGAATAATAATAATAAATGCTTTGAAGAATTAGTTGGAGGAATTATCATGCTTACACTATGTTAATACACCTGGCACAGATGTTCACCTGATATTAGATAGCTGGGCAGCAGATAGTTTTGCTAAAATTATGTCAGAATGACCATCACATTCGTAGTTTCACTTCACTCTGGATGGTCCTACTAAATATTTTCCTAGTCCTCGCTCTGCTTATTAAACACAAGTATCAAGAAACTCCAAATGCTTCATCTTTGTGCACATGAAATGTTGATGTCCCTTCCTGTTATAGCTGAGAGAGGCAGAAGAATTTCTTCTGGAATATATTTTCACCTGGCTATGCTTTCTCATTGAAAGAAGTTGGGATTAAGTTAGAGATGGGCAGGTGCCTTGAAACCTGGTCAGTTGACCAAACCTTTAGACCAAAAGATCTATTTACGTATTTGGTTTGGCTGAAGGAATTTTCATATAGCATTTTCCCCTACTCATCCCTCTTTTCCATTGTTTTGAGTAGAAGTGGACAGGAAACATACTGAAGGGATCTAATAGTAGTTGACAATTATATGTCACATTCTGTGGTCAAACCAACCTTCTATATGAAAGATAAATATTAATGCTTCCCATTGCTTGGGTTCTTGGTTGTATAATTGCAATTATATGGGCCAGTTACTCATCTCTTACTTCCAAATGTTATTTCCTTGAGATAAGAAACAAAAACCAAGTTTTGGATTAGCATCCAACAAAAGAAAAAAGATGCTAAAGAAAACAAACTGGAAGGAAGCTTCTTGGTGTCACCACCACTAGACTTTTAGGAAAACAAATAATAGGGGGGAAAATGTTATTAATTATATTCCTGCTTTGTGCCTTTTGCCATTTCGGGGATAAAGAAGTGAATCTAAGGAGCTAAAACCCCATTTTCAACCTTACAAGTGATGCATTTAATTTGTCAGAATGTAAATCAGCAGGACCTCTCAGCAGGATCATGTAGTATCATCCTGTTCATAAAATATTCCTCCTTGTTTTGCCAAAGAAGCAATGCACTTTCCCAAGGGCCAGCTCACCCAAATGGCAGCTACCGCCCCATCAGACTCAAACTGGTAAGTCACTCACCCAGACACAACCGCTGACATTCCCTGGGGAGGAAGCAAAGCTTAATTTAGATAATCCCCTTTGCAAAGTGTATTAGCTGATCCAAACCAGACCGGGCTGCCTGAAGGCATATTGTTCTACATTTCAGAGTTGCTTCAATGTAGAAATTGCTTCTTTTTCTTTTGGAGGATTAAAATTCATTTTTGGAATAGGTATGGATGATCAATAAACTATTTTAAAATATATAAAACAGCTTCATATTTAACTTTGACCTTCTACCCACTTAAATGGGCCAAGGTAGAAACACTTTCTAGAGCAACATTTCTTTATTTCTCTAGAAAGTGCTTGGCAGAGTTCCTCTAATTCTGTCACATGAAAATAACAATAACAATAAACAGATTAGGTTAAGTATTAAGATGCTATCTATCACAAATGGATACTTTTGGTTTCTAAAAAGACAAACTCTCTAAGTGATTCATGGAAGAATATGCCTGGTTTAAGAATAGATATACCCCCAGCACTCCATTGCACACAATGCATCCTCAACAGGAAGACATAGACAACTCCAGAGATAGGACAACAGTCAGGAGATATAGCACACCAGAAGAAAAACACCCCCAGGAACCACACGTGAGGGAATGTCATGACTGAGGGTCAAAATAAAGGGGTGTAGAGCAGGAATAAAAGATACATGCTTTTGTCAGCAGGAACATACAACTGATTTTCTAATTAGAACATAAATCCCCAAGTTTATTGTGAAATATCTTTGTTGCTAGAAAATGGAAATATTATAGTTCTGAAAAATATCATTAGCAATAAATAGTGTGACTTATACATATAGGAAAACCTGAATTATCCATAGAAGTTAGCATTCAATGAGGGGAAAGATCCTCGGCCATGTGTATGCTTGGACTTGAGTCTGACTCCTTGAGAGGCAGGATGCATGACAGCCTCTTCCATCTGAGCGGCAGTGAATTTCCAAACACCACTTAGCTTTACTGATGGAACAGAGATAACTTTTGAAAACTAATTTTTTATTGCTTTTAAAGAGGAAGGGAGAGATAGAAACATCAATAATGAGAGAAAGTCATTGATGGGCTGCTTCCTGCATGCCCTGTCCTCTGGGGAGCAAGCCCACAACCCAGGCATCCACCTGAATGGGAATCCAACCTTTACCTCTTGGTCATAGGTAGAGGCTCAATCACTGAGCCATACCCGCCAAGCCAAGCAGAACAGAGAATAACTTTTAAGCAGTTTCCCTCAAAAAAGAATATTCCATGTTGAGAATCACAGAGTAGGAAACAATACTAGGTGTTACATCAAGAATCATGATGGAAAGTAAAACTGCAAAATGGTCCAGAATCAGGGAATATGAGGAGGGAGGGAAAGAAAGAGACCGATACAGCTCTCCTTTATTTTTATACTCAAAATTAATCTGTCCCTATGTTTACCTTCTCTTTTACTTTTTCCAAACTATTTCAAATTATTTTTTTTAAAAGAGAGGTGGAGGATATAAGTGATGTTTAAATAATTTTGGAATACAGCAATCCTCACCTGTTTTTCTCCTGAATCTTTAGGATTTCATTTGTCTGTTGAAGAAGTTGCTTCTCTAGCTTGTAGGTTGATAATGAATTCTCCAGCAGTTGTATTTCAAGTCGAGATGTTTGATTTAGCATCTGAGGTTAAAAGATAAAAACATTTCAGAGTTCCATCACAAAGAGTAAAAACAATTATTTTGGGGTTTTCACTTAGTTGTGTTTTCTTTTAAATTAAAATTTCTTCCAGAATATTTAATTGAATGGTCTACATCCTATAATGTTTTACATGTCTCTTGAACATTATATTTATTTGAGACTGAGTTGAAATTGAATGAAAAAATTGAGTTGTTAAACCCATTTTCATATTTAAAATTTTGTGTGCTGAATCCCTAGATATTTCTCTGTTTTAGCTGCTTTATACATTGTATCAACAATATTTATAAGTGAAAAAAAATGAGTTTTAGGACAAGGTCTTATATATTGTGAATAATTAATAGGAATGCAATATATACCTGCCTAGATCTATCACCTTACAGAAATATTTTATGACATAGTTTAGCCAGGTGCATGATCAGACATTTATTGAACACCTATGTTAGGTCATGACAGCCCTTCCAGATTTCATATCATTTCCTGCACATGAACACCTGTTGAAGGAGGAATTATCATCACCACTTTGCAAAAGAGGAAATATATTCAACAAGAGGCTAAAATCCACACAGGAACCAAGGGAAGAACTGCATTTCAAACACAGATAGTGTGACTTCAATTTTAATGCTCTACACGGAAAACTAAGGAGAGTCAAACTATTCTTTCCTGGGGACTTAACTTGAAGGGATGAAGTGACCAAGAACCCAGATCACAATGAAGATAGACTAGTTTTCTCTTCAACTGCACTATACTGGGTTCTCTAGAAACTGTAAATATTTGATTCATCTTCAATCATGGAGACTCACATTGCTAGTTGAGTCTTAATATGAGTGTGTGAGTCCTGAACCAAACACAGTTATCCACAATGTACTCCAGTCCTAGATATCTTCAAACTGTGCCAATGTCCTTGTCCCTCCTTATCTCTGTCCTGTCCCCACTCCCTTCTTCCTTAAAGGAGGTAAAAAGGTCAAGAAAGAGGTATAATTCATCTGTAAAGCTCCCATGTCACTTGAAAACTTTTGCAACCATCCTATTTTTTGCTACAGCTACTTACTGTATAGCAGATCTAACCCTATGCAAATGCACATAGAAAACCTTTTAAAAATAGACTGATGTGACCAGGGTTAGGCTTGGGCTCTAGAAAGTTGTGGAGGAAGGTGACAAATTTTTTAGGGGAGTAGAATAGGGGCTAGGGTGAGAGAGAGAGGCAATTACTTCAGTTGCAAGATATAAGGAGGTGTCAAAAAATCAGTAATCAAGATAAAAAATATTTTAATACAACATTTGAAAGAGCAAAATTAAAACTAAAAACATCCATGTTGAACATAATATCACTTTAAAAATAAAAAAAATCTCTTCCTGAATATGCATGACTCAGTTTTGCATGACTTGCTTTCACTCCCCTCACCCTAGTCCTAGGACACGAAGGTACAGAATTGGGGTGGGGTGGATAAAGAAGAGAATAGTGAGATGGAGCATTTGCACTTTAAAAAAATTTTTACAGAAGCAACAGGCAGACTGTCAAATTACAGTGGGGAGGGGAGGAAGATCTAGGGGAGATAATAGATCAACTGAAGGACTTGTGTACATGCATATAAGTACAACCAATGGACATAAAACTTTGGAGAGGGAGGGAATGTATGGAGGGAGGGGGGCAAAAAAAATCAATAAAAATAAATAAAAATAAATAAATAAATAAATAAATAAATAAATAAATATAAAAAAATTTACGGGATATGATTCATTTACACAGCTGTTATAAATATGGGTCTGAAAGCTTGTCTAAAAGTTATTACAACCTATCAAAACTTATATTTGTGGAGTGTTTTAGAGTTTTAAAAAATATTTTACTATTCTGAGTCATTTCATCCCTGAGAGAAAACAGAGGCAAGAAGACCTGGAATTTGAAGACAGAGTTAGTAGCAGTGCCGAGGGGGGGAAAATAGAGAATATAAAGACTGTGAATACATAAAATATAGCTTTCAATTATTAAACATAGTTTTGTGCAAGCAAGTTTTTGTATTTATTAACTAGAATGATTATCAAATAATTACATGGGGAATGAGATAGCTGTATCTTTTCGTGACAGTGCTTGTCACAGAGAAAATAGTATTTATTGAATAAACAAAGAGGCCATTGTCTCGTTGAATCAAGTATATCATATGCCATGAAATAAAATATTTTCTTCTTATTCATCACACATTCTGATAACACTTTCTGATATTCCGAAATACCAAAATTTTTATTTTACAAAGGACGGAACTTTTTCTTCTCCATGTGTAATAAGAGCATATGGGAACACTGCAAAAAGAATGGAATCATCAAAAATAAAAAATGAATCTGCCTATGCTAAATCTGGCGACTACTACAGCTTCTAAGTTTTCTCTACGTTGTCCTAACTCAAATCCATTTGCTATAGAGCATCCAGAGTGATCTCTGAAAACAAAAGTCAGATCATTTCATCTCCTATGCTAAACCTGCGAATGGCTTCCCTCGGCAATTAGCATAAACCGCAAAGTTCTTAACCTGTCCTACAAGGTCCTATATGACCAGGACCCTGCTCACATCTCAGATCACTCTCCTTCTTTCTGCCACCAAAACATGCCACATTAATTTCCACCTCAGGGCCTCTGAATCTGCAGTTTTCCCGGCCTGGAATGCCCAGATGCATGTCTACTTTCTTCTCATCATTCAGGTCTTGCTCAGGGAGGTCCTTCCTGGCCACTCTCTGTAAAGTAATATGTTCCCTTGCCCCCCATCATTCTCTATGAGGTCACCCTGTTCTATTTGAAATCATCCTGTCCATTCACTCATTTGCTGTCTTTCTTTCCCATGAGGATGTCAGCTGTACAGAAGCAGGATGACTCTGCCTGGAGCCCTCCATACCCCAGAGCCCAGCATGGATTCAGAGCTGTTTGTTGAATAAAATGCTAGACCATAGACAATGAGTTATTCAAGTTGGGTAATGGTAAGAGAGGAGTTAACAGGCCATGTGAATAACAAGCTGGACTTCAATGATAATAGTCCAAATCTAAGGCAGCATCTAAATGAGGAGGGGGAAATCTCAGAAATCCAGGCTAAGTGTTGAGCACAAATACCATTCCCTTCTCTTCTTTCCCCATCACCTCAACCCAATAGCTGTGCTATTTCAGCTCTCTCCACTGATCTATTAAAATAGGCCCGAAGTTCAAAAGCGAGCAACTGAAAGAACTGAACAGGAAACTATGATAAATTGACCACTTTCTTGCCATGCATCCATGGAACTTGCTGCTTAGCAATAATCTAAGTGTTCCATTAAAATGACAAAAGTCATTTCCTTTTTAGCCTAAACACATTCCAAAAGCATAGCACGGGGGGTGGGGGGGGAGAAGAAGAAGCAGCAGAAAGAAAGAATGATGGTAGAGAGAATGCAAAGAAGGGAGAGAGGGAGGGAAGGAAGAAAGAAAGAAGGAAAGAGAAAAAAGACGAAGAGTATATCAAACAAGGCCTCACTAGACAATTTTAAAGCTTAAATATTCTAGAATATACATGACAGTAAGGAAGATTTAACACTTAAAAGTAAAAATTTATGGAGTATAAAAATAGTTCTTTCTTTTAAAAATAAACAGAAATTTAAAATAGAAATGTCTAGTTTCTCAATGAAGGTGAGCTAGAGATTTTCAGCCAGCTCCCTTTAATACTTTAAAAAGTGCCTCTGATCTTTCTTAAAAAGAAAATCTCCTTACAAAAATTTCTTTCACCAGTATATTAACTTTAAAATCAGCCTTGCTTTATAGATTTGTTTCCTTTTAATTTTATCATTTTTTTTCAAATGAAAAATATAACAGAAGTTATACTGAGAGTTCGGAGATCACCATTTTACTAAATCGATGAAATAATTTATTTGGTCAATGATGGGCAATGTGACAAAGTACCATCCTATAGGTCATTTGTTCATTTCCAAGGAGAAAGTGGGCGAATGGGATGAAGAGATAAGAAGGCTTCTACTCTAACTAACCAAGGTAGAATAGCATCACTGAGAGCATAGCAAGCTAGCCTGTGTGCCTGCTGATGAGATGTAATAGGAAGTGATCAGCAGTCCCACAGGGCATGCCCACCACATGTTCATCTGGGTCTAATTGAACCTGATTTCCAGTTAAAAGAAACCATGAGATGGTAGAGTACATTGAAAAGCATCTAAAAAATTTAGACAAATAGAGAATATGGGACATTTTTAAAAAAACAACTGACCCAGTTTCTCAAACGTCTCAAGAGAGGAAAAACACAGGAGATTGCTCCAAAAATAAAACAGACTATTAAATCTTAAAAAATTAAATGCCTATAATTTTTGGTAGAATAACTGAGGAAATTTGAGTATGAAAATTAGACAATCTTACAGAATAATTGTTAATCTTACCTATAATAATATAATAACATATAATTAATTCTATATAATTATTTTATATAATATTTTATATTTATATTATCAATAAATATATATTGTGTTTATAATCTATAATAATAAAAGCATAATATGCTAATTAAACTGGACAGCCAAAAGACCTGGACATCATTCCGGACATCCTTCTGGATGAATCTGCGGTGGCAGCTGCCAAGGCAGGGATAGTTAGGGGTGATCAGGCAGGCAGGGAAGTAGTTAGGGGCAATCAGGCAGACAGGCATAGTGTTTAGGGGTTATCAGGCAAGTGGTTAGGGACTATCGGGCAGGCAGGCAAAGTGGTTAGGGGTGATTAGGCAGGCAGACAGAATGGTTATGGGGAATCTGGTAGGCAGGCAAGCAGTTAGGGGCAATGAGGCAGGCAGGCAGAGGAGGTTGGGGTGATGAGGCAATCAGGCAGGTGAGCAATTAAGAGCCAGCAGTCCCAGGTTGTGAGAGGGATGTCTGACTGCCAGTTTAGGCCCTACAGGATTGGGCCTAAACTGGCAGTCAGACATCCCTTGAGGGGTCTCGGATTGTGAGAGGGTGCAGGCCAGGCTGAGGACCCCCC